GCTTTTCTGTGTTGCACCTCGTCAAAAACCCATCTTGCCTTATCAATTTCCCCACATTTAGCATACATATCAATCAGTGCTGTGCAAACATTTGAAGATCTATCCAGCTTCTTCCGCTTCACGAACTCATATACCCAATTCCCCATATCCAGAGCACCCAAATCAGCAATTGCTGGAAGAACACTAACAGCAGTAACATCATCAGGATCAAACACTTTCTCGGTCAGCAATTCATGAAACAATCTCATTGCCTCGTGGGGCTGTTTATTCTGACAATATCCACCAATCATCACATTCCAAGAATACAAATTTCGTTCAGGCATGGCGTCAAATAGCAACCTAGCTTCCTCCACATCACCATTACTACAATACCCATCAATCATACTAGTCCAAGACACAACATTTCTCTCGGGCATAGCATCGAATAACCTCTTGGCCTTCTCCATATCCCCTACCTTGACATAACCATCGATCATAACATTAAACGCAGCAGTGTCCTTCTCACTCTCCAGCATTAGATCAAACAACTCTTTTGCCACGCTCATTTCTCCATTTCTCACGTACCCGCCAATAAGCGCGGTCCACGACACCTGACTCCTTTCAATCATTTCATCAAACACTTTCCGCGCAAAACCCATTTTCCCCAATTTCCCATACATATCGACGAACGCGGTCGCCACATACAAATTCGACTTAAACCCATACTTCAACACATGGGCATGCACTTCAGTTCCTTCAAATTCAGAAAAACTCAAGCCGCAACATTTCGCCAGAGTCGAAAAAGTGTAATTATCCGGCCCAAAACTATCTTTCCTCCTCAATTCATTATACAAAACACCAGCCTCAGAAAATTGTCCGGAATTAAGGTGGGCTTTCATCATAGTATTGCATAGAAAAGTGTTGGACTTATGCCGGATTTGACCGAACAGGCGGCGGGCGTGGTGGATTCCGCATTGTGGGTCAGAGGAAGAGAGGGTGGCGATGAGCTTTGTGAGGAGGTTAAGGTTGGTTTCGAGGGCGTTTCGGAGCATGAAAGCGTGGATTTGAAGGAGCGTGGCTCTGCCGTGGATTTTTCTTTGGAGGATTGAGAGGCATTTTCTCTCTTTCGGATTCCATATCCATGTCGATTGGGTGTCTTTTTCACTCATACAGTGATGAACAAACGATTAATAGCATTCCCGCCTCGTCAATAATTTTCGGAAGTTGGAATGGTGATTTTAAAAAAAAATTCATATTTATTGCCGTGCTTGATTATTTATTCATTTTTAATATTTATGTAAAGAATTCGGGTGGTGGAATGCGAGGCAGGTATTTTTTTTCTTTTTAAAGTAAAAATTAGCGACATTTTTTGGGAAATGACTTGGAAAGGCTGCATTTCAATTCGTTTTTGTTCAAAAGCCTTTGACCAAACTTTTGAAAATAATATAAAATATAAATATTTAAATATTTGAAAAGATAATTATAACCTTCCAATTTCTCTCCGAACTAAAGAAGAAAGGACCAAATTCGTTCCCAAATTAGAGTTCTCAAGAATCAAAACTCTCTATCTTTTTCCATTTCTTAGGCTCGTCCGTAGATCTCTCTCTATCTCCATTTTTTGAACTTTGAAACTCGTCGGACCACTTTCAGGTAACGTCTCTCGTGCGGCTGAATTTGTATTGTGTTTGTTTTTCCACCCCCATTTTCGCAGTAGAAGTTTGTTTTCCCAACCCCTTCTTAGATTTAGAAAGCCACATAATATATGAAGAGCTCTTCTGTATTATATATGGAAGGGTCTTTACGGTTCCTATAGCCAAAACCTTTGAGCGACTTATCTACATTATGATAGTTTTATGGCACAAAATTGATAATATTCGATCTCAGGTGTGTTTGTAAAGGTTATGTTTTGATTTCCTCTTTTTCTAAAAGAGAAAAGTCATAATGTTTTGTTAAAAGAAAAAAAAATGATGATTCTATTTCCCACTGTTTTAATGTTTTTTTTTTATCTGTGTTATTATGATTCACCTTGTTAGGTCTAAAGGTGTAATTGGAGATTCTGTGGACAAAAGGACTAAATTATAAATTTGTAAAAGTCAGGGACTCAATTGTACAATGTTATAAAAGTCAGGGACTTAGAGGTGCAATTTAGCAAAACTAGATGGTAGGGCCTAGGGTTTGAGTGTTTGGTTCAAATTAAGGTCGTGGCGTCAGAAGTTCTCTAGCCGTTCGCCCTGCCGCCGCTCAAGCGAGAAAAGCAGAATGGACGTCGCTGGTTCGCCGCTCGTTTTTCGCTCGAGCGAAGCATTGTCATTCGCTCTCCGCTCGCTTTTCGTTCGAACGATAGTGTTATATGAAAAATCATATTTTCGATTTCTGGAAAGTTTGACACGGCCTAGAACTCCAAATTACCCCCAACTATAAATACAAAGGCCGTGAACGAAAATAATAGGTTGCTTCATTGCGCTTTCATATTAAAGCACATTCATATCATTGTGAAGAGATCAAAGAACACAATCAACTGGAGAATTCATCAATCTTATTCTCGTGATCCAACAACCAATATTTTGGGAAAAAAATCAAGTTTGTGAAGGCAAAACAACGGTACTTCTTCATTTATTGAGGAAGGGACTCTCTTAAAGGGGGATTGAGGGAGGTGGACGACAAGTGCAGGAACTGGACAAGTACATGAGGTTCTTGGAATTCCACTTGGTGATACAATCTGCTAAAGACCAAGAGGTTGTATTGGACAACAGATTGGGCTGCAGGAGGTAGATCGGGAAGCTAGCAGGAAACTAGTAGTATCTACGGCAGTAGATCATGAGACTGGAACAACGGATCTGATTGGGTACGGAATTTGGCAGAACTTGTACTGGCTGAATTGGTATAGTGGAACTTACTGGCTTGGTCCCGGAGTTTTACCTATGTTGGGGTTTCTCCATCATCATATAGTGAGTTGTGTTTTGCATTATTTTATTTGCTTTACGTAAATCGGCAATTCAACATAGGAATTAACTGGACTGTATATTTAATCACCTAACGATATCAATGTCGTTCTGAATGAGACGAAACGATATGCGCCCTACCTTCGTTAAGTACTGAAGCAGTGTGTATTTAATATTGAAACAATGTAAATGTCGTTTTGTGTCGCACGAACGAGTTCAATATCGTTTTAGTATCAATTTTAAATGAAACGACTTAGAAATCGTTATGTGTGGTCATAATGAGTTTTAAGTCGTTATGCAAATCAAAGAAGCAGCGTTTATTTAATATTGAAACGATATGCATGTCATTTTGTGTTTCAGGAAGAAGTTCTAAAATCGTTTTAGTATCAATTTTAACTGAAATGATTTCGAAAACATTATGTGTGGTCATAACGAGTTCCACGTCGTTACGCAATTCAGAGAAGTAGTGTGTATTTAACATTGAAACAATATGCATGTCGTTTTATGTTTTAGGAACGAGTTATAACTCGTTATAGTATCAATTTTAACTAAAATCACTTCGAAGTCATTATGTGTGGTCATAACGAGTTCTAAGTCGTTACGCAATTCAAAGAAGCAGTGTGTATTTAACACTGAAACGATATGCATGTTATTTTGTGTCTCAGGAATGAGCTATAACTTATTATGCTAATCTGTGTAATTTTCGAACTGGAACGATATTCATGTCTACTATAACTACATGAATGTAGTTTGCCTTCACTGCAAGAAATAAGAACATGAATATGTAAAATACTTTAATTTGATTCCAATGGTACAAAAATATTTTAATAACGCAATGACTACAAAATCTAATAAGTCATTTCATTCAGTTGAAATAATAAGTACGAAGTCGTAAAGTTACAAGACACGATAGTGTTACAACCTTAAGGTTCACTACTAGCTGCTTGACCCGTGCAAGTGGATCTAACATGACCAGTTTTCTTGCACCTGTTGCACTTACAAGCCGCACACGTCTCACCGATCGACATTTTCCTCTTTTTTTACGGTTGCCCGCCCTATCTTCGTACCAATGGTGGAAATACTTCTCTGACTATCACATTCTTAGGAATTTGCCATTCGACCTCGTTCGGCAAATGATATACGAATGTAGAATAAACTTGCTTCCAACAAATACTAGTGTAAAAAGAGGTACATAATTTATAGCCGTCGTCTCCTTTAAACTTTGCGGCAGCAATTGCATACGCACATGAGAACTTGTCCAAATCAAATCTTCTACACGTACATGTCATTTAGTAAAAATCCACAAAGTAGTGTTATAAATTGTCACCAACTTTATAAATGTCCGAAGAAACCTGATTTACTTTCAACCCATTTGACTCATTATATGTCATGTACATCTTTTTCTCTAATGTTGGCGTGAGTTGGGTCACACATTTTTTTGCTTCAACGTGTGTTTAATAAAACTACTTTTGTAGTATCCCACGAATATATTCTATTAAACCAACTATAAGAAGTTCTCGAGCACTTTTCAACAAACCATTTATAGATCCGCATTATTCGTAGTCATGATATTATATCGTATCCCGGTAAAATGCGTTCTAACCCAATAATGAAAATCTTCTTCTAATAGGTACTCTTTGATGCCTTCCTTTTTACTGTATAGAGCTGCCATGTAGGACTCAAATTTGGTTACAGTACAAGCTTCTGACGTTGCCCTAAACAAAGTTGCAACATCACACCGTGGAAAATTTGTCTTCAAGTTCTTTTGCAAGTGATATGTACAATTACCGTGATGAGTAAATCGAAACACATTTCTAACTCCATTTTTGATGCATGTTGCACGGCCAGATATAATCACAAGGTCATCCGTATTACTTGTTATTAACCGCAACTTCTAAAACAATCAAGTCCAGAATTCATCATTCTCCGAATCAACTACTCCCTATACGAGTGAAAATAGTTGAAAATTTGCATCATGAGAAGTTTCTACGAGTAGAGTACCTTTCATTCTCGATGTCAAGAATGCACTATCTACAGAAATTACCTTTTGTATTGAGTTGAGGAACCCATGCATACTTGGTCCCAATGCAATAAAAAGGTACTTGAAGCGCCGGTCATCATTAATATGAATGAATGTCATTGTACTAGGATTTTGCATATCCAAAACATGACAATATGTTGGTAATTTCGCATAACTTTCACGGGGTTTCCCACGAATCAATCCAAAAGAATTTTTTTTAGCCATGTACGCTTTAGTATAGCTTACGGTTATGCTGAACTCTCGACGAATGTCATTAATAATGTCCTCTGGTCTGTACGCTCGGTTGACATCTTCATACTTAGAAGCGATGTGGTTTCCAATAATCATATATGAAGCATGCCTACGATCTCTGTGACAAACACTAATGGAGCAAGAATGATGATCATTGTACTTTCGAACTTCGAAAATGGGACTTTTAACAATCTTGGTTGCTCGTAAGCGCCACTTGCAATTTTCATTAATACAAACAATTGAATAAGTGCTCTTATTTGACTTCTTAACTTCGTACTCAAAAGTGGCACTTTACTGGTTGACTTGCATATCTAATCGTTCCAAAATTTTTACTGATGTCGTGTAACATAGTGAACTTACACTTGCAGATACAATCTAAGTACATTCAACATCATTACCATTCACTATATTTCTACTGCAAGGTTTATGCGTGTGTAACTCAAAATTATTGTTATCTACTACAGGAGAATTAACTTTGTCATCTACTCTTCGGGGACTATCTTCACTTACATCATAACTATTATAATCTACAAATATTCCATCACCATTGTCATCATTACCATCATTGTCTGTTCGATCATTTCCTCCTTGTTGTTCATATTTCCAATTTGTTCTCCACCATCTATTACTAATAAATATCCTTCATCACCAAAATCTTCTTGATTCTTGACAACTTCATTTAAAATACTTACACAAAGAAAAGTTTTTGTATAGACAGATATAAACTACTTCACGTTATTGTCACAATCAATTATGATTGGTGCAGTCGGAGCTTTAAACATTATCGGGACAAGAGCTGAAATCTCCATTTTGTATAGACTCGTATCGATATTCAATGCCTCCTTAACTTTATCATATAGTTCCATGTAAGAAATTGTTTTTGCAACAAGAATAGATATTGTTTTCCCTTTGCCATTTCTAAAATACTTCCATTTTCATGCACCTTCAACTGTCTGCTCATATTCAATTGGATAACAAACCGATATTCATACCATGCCCACAGTGTCCATAACCTGTAATTCAACATATAAATTTCATCAAATTTCAAAGATC